GAATTACAAAACAGTTTAATTATTTATTAGACGACTTTTGCGGCGGATAAACAAAGTATATTATGTGGGATTTTCATAGGTACCTACTGTTATTACCTAGATACCTACAATCAACAATACAACAAAATGTCACAAAACCTCGCCGCGTCGTGGCCACAAAATTGTAAACTTTAGGTAGGTACGTCGGTACTAAGAAAACAATCTTGATGGGTCACTTGTCTTGATAAAAACCTGTGTTTACGTTTAGTGATATTGAGTATATATAAAAAAATAAGAAGCCAGGTAAGTAAGTATTTTTGAAAACAATTTATAGGTAGGCAGACCAATTACGATTATTATCTAAATATTATAAATGCGAAAGTTGGGATATTTGGATGGACGGATGAATGGATGTATGTTACTCAATCACGCCAGAACGGCTGAAGGGATCTGGATGATATTTTGCTCAGAGATAGGCTATAGTCCGAAATTTTTTTTTCAAAAAAACTTTACCCCACACTAGGATTTTCTCCTGTATCGTGGAGGCAGTTTACAAACATCCAGACCCGGAACAATTATTTGTAGACCATACAAATACTTGTTCGATTGATTCGAACCCGCGGCTCCCAGTACAACAATTCATTGCTAAGCCACTGCGCCACGGAGCTGCCAAATATCATATATGATACCGTTTATTCAGATATTTCGTTGCCGTGGGATAATTATCGAGTTACACACGTTCGAAGCCGAACTCTTGAGTGATTGCTGCATGACCACTCGGGGAAAACTAAACATAATAAAATAAGCAATCTATATTAGGTATATAGAGCCACAGACGTATACCTAATAATTTCGTGGATTCACCCGCGTCATCACGTGTCCGAGATGCGTGGCATGACATGACACCTAGTTCCAGCATTTTATAATTGCAATCAAATATTTTATTTGATTGTAATATATGGAAAAATTGTCATGATTAATGGAGTACTTTTATTTTATCTGTCGGCATATTATGCGCGGTTTTTTCCAGTTTTAAAGAAAAACGTACACGATTCATGAAAAGTGTGTTGGCAAGAAATGATTCTTGATAAATTTGCTATCAACCTCTTATACTTATTAATTAATTAAATTTAAACTTTCAAAATACCATAGCAACGTGAAATTAAAGAGTTCAGAAATAAAGATGTAACTAATCATTCATACGGTCACCCGGGAGATAGATAAAAGTACTCAATTAATTTTGAATTTATTTTAGCTACTAGCTGTACCCCGCGACTTCGTCCGCGTTTAGTTTAGGGCGTTAATATTGTTGCAAAGACACCTAATAATTTTTCTAAAATTTAAGCAGGCTAAGTTACTTCTTATAACATGAGCTATCTAATAGTGAAAGTCCCGCCCAAGTCGGTCCAGCCGTTTTGGAAATTAACCGCAACAAACAGACTGACAGACATACAAAAATGTTAAAAATTGTGTTAATGTTATAAGTACCGTATACAGTTTCATACGCAATTAGTAAAAAGCTGTTATTTTGACATTATAACAGACACTTCAATTTTATTTATTTGTGTATATATAGATAACGATTGAACTAACGGCTAACCTAACCTCGCTCATAGAAGCTTTCAATACTGGCTTCTCAGTTCGCACCGGGCTAGGGGTTATGCGTTGTTTGCGCGTCAAGCCAAGTAGGTATTGAATTATTTTAATTTTACATTATTTCTTAAACTATGTACTATATAAACATGGTATAAAGAACGAAGTTTATCTTCATAAAATTGTCTTGATAATGAAGTAACTTTGGTTCGTAAGGTGCCTAATAATTAAATTTTCATTTTTTTGTCACAAAATGCCTAATTGTGGCTTATATATAAGAAATAGACATATGGTATCGCGGACTTTTTTTAGACGGAGTAAAGATCTATATTTTTCTAGAACATTGTATTTACGTATCCCGAACCATAACAGCGCTTTTTCTTCTGACTTCCTATATATAGCCTAATGCTGTATAGCCTATACTATTCAACATGAATCTGGCTATAATATCCAAAAAAAGATTTTTCAAATCGGACTGGTAGTTCCAGAGATTAGCACGTTTAAACAAACAAAAACCCTCTTCTGCTTTATTATATTAGTATAGATGTTGCATCGTGTTCGTGTAACTTCGTTTTTATTCTAACGGTTCGGAACACCGTACGAACAAGACATGCGTGAATACTAGTGTCGATATGCTCATCACTGATACTATCTCTGTCGGGCACGATGCCAGGTGAGACAGCGTGCTTTTTGGCCGCGCCCACCAGCGAGTTCGAGCCCGCGACTTGTGCCACCTTAAGACCTATCCGTTGGGAAACACTATCGAGGTCATTGAGCATAGTGCTTAGGTCCTCCAGCGATTCTGCCATAAGGACTATATCGTCGGCAAATCGAAGGTGAGTGATGTACTCGCCATTGATGTTGATACCGTATCCTTTCCAGTCCAGAAGCTTGAAAACGTCTTCCAATGCAGCGGTGAAGAGTTTCGGGGATATGACGTCACCCTGTCTTACACCTCTCTGCAATTGGATAGGTTTCGTACTCTGGTTCTGTACTCGGATAGCCATCGTAGCCCTACTGTACAAGCACTTCAACACTTCGATATACCGACAGTCAACTTGGCACCGCTGAAGGGACTGCAGCACCGCCCAAATTTCGACGGAATCAAAGGCTTTCTCATAGTCCACATACGCCAGACATAGTGGCAAATTGTACTCTTCGGACTTCTGTACAATTTGCCGAAGGGTATGTATGTGGTCTATGGTGCTAAAGCCCTTTCGGAAACCGGCTTGTTCGGGAGGCTGGAAGTCGTCAAGTCTGCGCGCGAGACGAATCGTAATGACTCTCGAAAACAGCACGTAGACGCGGCTCAGAAGGGAAATCGGTCTGTAGTTCTTCAAGAGAGCGTTGTCACCTTTCTTGAAGAACAAGACCACCGCACTTCTGCTCCACGCCTCCGGTGTAATGCCACCATGGAGGACGGAATTAAAGAGGCTCTGAAGGACTTCAAGTACCGGTCTTCCACCCGCTTTCAGAAGCTCCGCTGTAATTCCATCCTCGCCTGGGGCCTTACCGTTTTTAAGGTGCTGGAGAGCCATTCTAATCTCGCTCAGACTGACGTCCGGGATATCTTCGGAATAGTGTCGGATGAGACTCGCTCTTGGATCGTTACTCACACTTGCGTGTGGCTCCAACGATGACGTGTACAGCTGCCCATAGAACCTCTCAATCTCACTCAAAATCTCAGGTGCCCCGGAAACGATGCTGCCACACTCTGTCTTCAGCTTTGACAGTTGGCTCTTTCTGGCAGACAGATCTCTGGCAAAGACTTTGGAGCCTTGGTTCCGCTCGATCGCTTCTTCAATACGAGCTGTGTTGAAGTTGCGTAAGTCCCGCCGCATGCATTTGGAGATCTGTCTGTTCAGATGCCTGTATGCTGTCAAGTCTGTTGAAGAATGTAGCTTCATCTCCCGTCTAACAGCCATGAGATTAAGAGTGTGATCGGAGAGTTTTTGTGTTCTTCTGCGGCGGGTCTTGCAGAACTTAGCTCCGACCGCATGGACAGTTTCCACGAGCTTGTCATTCATATCGTCCACTTCATTGCAGTCTTCTAGGCACTGAAAACGGTTTTGTAACTCGAGCTGAAAGGTCTCGGGACTTTGGAACAGAGCACGAGGGGGACGGAGCGTTGACTTCATTAGACGAGACCTCTCCAACTTAACGTTTAGGTTCAGTGTGCTTCTAACCATTCGGTGATCGCTACCAGTTTTCACCCTCGCGATCACGGAGACATCACTGAACAGTTGTCGTCTGGTCGTCATAATGAAGTCAATCTCATTTTTTGTCGAACCGTCGGGGCTCGACCAGGTCCACTTCCTGTGGGGCCGCTTCTGGAAGAAAGAGTTCATCATAAAGAGTCCCTCTTTCTCCATGAAGTCGGCCAGCTGCTGGCCCCTTGGGTTCCGTTGCCCTATTCCAAATTTCCCTACTTTCAGCTCACCGTTCTCTCTTGTGCCTAGTTTTGCATTGAAGTCTCCCATTAACACCGTATATTGGGTTTTGGAGGAATGCATGGCTCTAGAGATATCCTCATACATTTCCTCCACCTCCCCATCGGGGTGTGCCGAGGTTGGTGCGTAAACCTGTATGACCTTCAGCGAATACCGTTTGGTGATTCTGAGTATAAGGTACGCAACCCTCGTCGACACACTCCCGATCTTTACAACGTTGTTAACGAGAGACTTGTGGACGATAAATCCGACACCTCCTTGGGACAGATGGTCGCCCTCCCGGTGATAGAGCAAGTTGCCGGATTCGAGGATTACCATGTCCTCCCCCTCTCTTCGGACTTCGGATAATCCTATAATATGCCAGCGCAGCTTGTCTATCTCTTCTTCCAGCTCCACGATCTTCTCGTCAGTCCTCAGGGTGCGTGCGTTGTACGTTGCCAGGTCGAGTCGTCTAAGGTGGCAACCGAACCTCCACCGGAGATTCTTAGCACCCCCTGCCCCGCCGTTACCATGGTCGCCACCGTAGCCAGGAATAGCGGGGCCGCCGGGGACTGGGGGCCGTCTCTTAGTTACTTTATTCATTTGGGGGGGTATTTGCCATAGTTGCCACGCTTGGCGAGCGGGTTGGCAACCGCAGTTTTTTTTTTTATTGTCTGGCTATTATCAGGAAGATGCTGCTGCCCATCTCCTGCCTGTTTCCCTTTGTCGCCTTTTACGACACCCACGGGAGGATATGGGGTAGTGGTATTCTTGACCGCCACTACACAGCTAGCCTTCAATTATTGAATATAAAAATCTAAAAAAAAATCGGAAAATACTATAGATATAATAAGGCAGTGTCCGATCAACGAGTCCGTATTTCAGAGTGAGGAGCTCGCCCCTGAGGAGTAGAATCCTAGCTACTAGGTTACGTCTGTGCAAATACCGAGTTATTATTATTATTATTATAAGCAAGAAAATGTGGTGGTGTGCACTGACCGGGCTTGTCGGCGCAGTCGAGCATTGGCTGCAGGATGCGGCGGCGCGCGTTGATGAACCAGTTGTTGACCTGCAGCAGCGTCAGCCGCGTCTGCGCCGCCAGCGACCGCTTCTCCTCCTCCGTGGGGTACGGGTGCTGCGGGCCCGCCCGACTGCTTTACTCACCACTACTGCTTTACGTCAAGCTACGCTGCTGCTATAGAAGCAGCACCAATAGCTCGGCTCTCACACAATACCGTCACACCCTATCAAAGCCCACTGCTGAACGTAGGCCTTCTCCATACGTTGCCTCATAGAAGGGATATTCGCCATAGTTGCCACGCTTGGCAAGCTGGTTAGTAACCGCAGTGTTTTATATTTTTCGTCATCAGGAAAATACTGCTGAACATCTTCTGTTTCAGTTTCTTTCTATCGTCTCTTACGAAATCCACGATATGAGGTTTTTTTATAGGATAAGGGTGACAAACGAGCACACAGTCCACCTGATGGTAAGTGGTTGCTGCGGTCCATAGATATCTACATCTATCCTTTATTACAAATCAAAATGCAGCGATGGAGCGAATTTTATAGAGAAATGTATGCGTGTGATGATCTTAGTGAGGGATCCGGGGATGACGCCGTGACTGGCACGCCAGACCCGGACCTCGATGACACTGAGGTCATCAGTATGAAAGAGATTGAACGTGCGATTCGAAGTTTGAAATGTGGTAAGGCTGCGGGACTAGACAGAGTTACTGCTGAAATGGTCAAGTATGGTGGGCTTCGCGTCTGGGACAGCTTTCATCTGCTGTGCAATTTGTGCTGGCGGACGGGGGATGTCCCGGATGATTGGCGATCCGCAGTCATTGTGCCTTTATATAAAGGTAAAGGTTCACATTTTGACTGCGGGTGCTATCGAGCGATCAGCTTGACCAGTTTAGCAAGTAAAGTTTACTCGAAGGTTTTGACACGTAGACTGCAAGAGAAATCGGAAAGATTTCTATGGGAGGCACAATGCGGATTTAGACCTGGAAGAGGATGCACGGATCAAGTGTTTTCTCTCCGTATGATCACGGAAAAGCTTCTGGCTGTTAACCAGAAGATTTTCTGTGCTTTTGTGGATCTTTAGAAAGCATTTGATAAGGTTGTAAGGAAGAAAATGTGGGAACTGTTGCCGGGGTATGGTGTGGATGGCCGATTGCTAAGGGCTGTGCAGTCTCTTTACTGTGACTGTAAAGCCTGTGTGCGGGTAGGGCATGACCTGTCACCCATGTTTAGCGTCCAAACGGGCGTAAAACAGGGTTGTGTCATGTCTTCCTGGCTGTTCATACTGTATCTCGACAGCTGTTTACAAAAGCTGAAAGATAGCTGTTTGGGTGTGAAATTGGGTGACATAAAAGTAAATTGTCTGCTGTATGCTGATGATGCAGTGCTTATTGCACCATCAGAGGCAGAACTGCAGGCATTAGTCACGTGTATGAAAGAGGAATGTGAAATTAAAGGTCTCCGTTTGAATGCTAATAAAACTAAGGTTCTGGTATTTGAAAGGGACGAAGAGAGAACGAAGTGTGAAATATGGGTAAATCAGAAATGTCTAGAACAGGTAAATGAAATTGTATACTTGGGGAGTGCTTTTAGCCGGGATGGAAGATGTGATTTAGATGTGGATAGGCGTGTCGCTGCCGGAAACAAAGTCAATGGTGCCCTGACTGCGTTAGTCAAAAGGCAAGGCGTAGCGAAGAGTACACGCCTTGCAATACATAACGCAGTGTTGGTACCGACTTTGTTATATGGCAGCGAAACCTGGGTATGCCAGAAGAAGCATAAAAGTAAGTTGAATGCAGTGGAGATGCGATCTCTTCGTAAAATGTGCGGCGTTACTATGGCCGACCGAAAGCGAAACGAAGAGATTCGCAATATGGCAGGTTTGAAAGATGACCTTATCACAAAAATTTATCTTGGATTAAGAATCAAAATGCAGATGTATTGCCTCGCCCCTGGGGACTAAGGTGGAATGCCTCATTTCCAGTAAAAAGAGTCTCCGGTTCTCTACACTCACCATACGAAACACCGCAGCATTAAGCTGCTATTTTACGCTAGTATTTTGTGAGAGCATGGTCCTGCCTTGGTCGAGCCGACTCATTCGTACTACAACCACAATATAGCTGCAGCGTGGCTCTATACCGTTTACCTGCCGCTTAGTCCTACCAATTAGTGTGTGGTTGCGTGTCAATGGCGCAGCAGGGTAGGTGGGGAAACATAGAAGCTATGGCCCCGGGCGGTAGATTTAGGGGTTGGGAAAAGAAAAGCGAACATTTTATTAAAAAAACGTCTTAGTCTGGGCGAGAGACTGACGCGTATGCATGTCCGTGTGTGTGTGCGTGAGTTTATATTCATTTCGTATTCTTTGCTACACAGCATAAATATTTTTTTAATTACAATTCACTGAAGAGAATCTTCTGAAGAGGTCCTTTGAGAAGTGTCTAAGAGTTTGGATTCAATTTGTTCAAATAGTACCATATAACGGCAACTAGTGAGCATACTGACCACGAGGTGCTGGAAGAGCCAGGCGCGCATGGCCTGCGTGGCATGGCGCGGCAGCACGCCGCGCTTGCCGCCCTCCTCCTCTTCATCGGGGGGAGGCGACCCTGACACTGATGAGCAGGACTGCGTCGACAGGTTCGATTGGCTCGAGTTCGTTCCTGCGGAGACACATACAGTTGCTATTTATTTATTTAACCTTTATTTATTTTATTAAACCTCACATAATTACAAAATCAGGACTTATTGCTAAAATCATTCTCTGGAAGTCAACCTTTGGGCAGTAATAGAAGAACGGAAGCGGTTACAAATGACAAATATATTTTATGCTTGCTATTTCACTAAATGCCATGAACTAAGTCAAAGTCAAAAATCGAGGTGGGGTTGTATCGTGGACGCAACCGTGTACTTTACCATGAATACGTGTACGTAAAGAAACGATCTCAAAATGGCGGCGCTCCCCCTCCACCGTACGCTAATCGTCACAGTCCTCAACGTAAAAAATTCTTTGATCAAATGAAAATGATTAAATAAATGTAGATTATAGATATTATGTAGCTACAACTTCAAACTGTATCCCCCGATTTTGTTACCATCAGTTTTCTGAGGTGCCTCCCATTATGAAAGCCCAAATTTAAAGATGTATTCACGTCAAAAAATTATTCAATTTAGACTTGTGTAAAGTTTTATGAACGTCAAAAGAGCTAATATGTTTGCCGCAGAGTTGCCCAATGTTTAAGAGAGGTGAAGTCACGGAGCAAATTCGTATTTGCTCCGTGGTTGAAACTCACATTATTCAGAGCGTATATTATTATATTATTGTTTTGAGTATAGATTACCTACACGCAACGAGCCTACAAAGTCCACCGTATCCAGTATAATAAAACGTTCCAGATGCTGATGGATGTGTGTCTCTAGTGCGTAGAGGTGACAGGTAAGTTGCAGCACCAAGGGCCACGGGTTCGAATTCCACACGGAACAAATTTTATATGGCCTTGGTATGGCCTACAAGTAATTGTTCCGGGTCTGGTAGTTTGCCCTTGTGAAGTTTATATATGTAAACTGCCCCCACGATACAAAAGAAAATCCTAGTGTGGAGGTAACGTTTTTTTTTAATAAGAGGAAAATATATGTCCCTAGCAATTAATCAATCGTTTGATTGTTTATAAGCACCTACTAACACCAAAAATAAGTTTTTCCTTTTTTCATTAACATTACAAGTCTTTATAACTAAATTAAAATTAATTAATAAATAAATAAATAACAAACCTGCAAGAAACCCCATCGTTTCGTTTTTTTTAAACCGTCTTAAATTTAATTTACAATAATTACAACTAATTAATAGAATCAGGCGTTACTTTGTGGAAAGTCATTATTTTAAAGTTGGAAAAATTTTACTTTGCCCATATCAGCTCAATAAAATAAAATGATGTGATGTGATGTGATGATAGGTAAGACACCTAGTTTGAAGATCACCTCCCGCCCTTCTTTAATTGCATGCACTATCCCCATTGTAATACAGTGTCAAAGATCAATATAATATATTTCTAAATGTTTTGTGTTGTTGCAACAACTGTGACTAATATGATATTTAGAAAAGCCCCTTGAATAATTAACATTGATGGTGTCCGTACAAAAAAGAGGTAACGATGACGGCTCGTTCGTCATCCTAACCACAATCCACCTGATAGGATACTGTGGTCTTTAGACACCAGCAATTATTTTTGGTTAAGAAACAAAATGCAGATCCGTTATCACCACTGAGGACTATGATGAGATGCCCCGCTACTTTCAAACAAGGGGATACGGTTCGGTACGTTGTTCACCAAATGATGCATTGCAATATTGTGCTGCTCATTAACGCTTACATTTGTGAGTCAAGCGAAACCATTCGCATTATACGAGTAGTAATAAACCTAACAATATCCTACCTCTCTAAGTGTTTAAGAGCGTTCACTGGTTATGTTCTTAACCTTCATTTTCCACCGACTTCAAAAAGGAGCCGGTACTCAATTCGACTGTATGTTTTTTTTATGTGTGTTACCTCATAACTTTTTACTGGGTGAACCAATTTCGATGATTCTTTTATTATTTGAAAGCTGGTGCTTCACATGTGGCCCCATATAAATTTGATCAAGGTCTGGCCAATAGTTTTTGAGTTATTCTTAATAATTTATATTGAAGTCGGTTGTACAATTTTTTTAATTATTTAAACAAAAAAGTTATTTAATAAAATCTTTACAGCTTAACACGATTTCTCACTTTAGTTTTTGTAAGTGGTAGAGCCAAGCTGCAGCTATATTATGGTTGTAGCATGAATGGGTCGGCTCGACCGGAGTAGGACTACGCTCTCACAGAATACCTGCGTAAAATAGGTGAGATGAGGTAAGTGTAGGGAACCGGAGACCCTTTTTATTGGAAACGAAGCATTCCATCTTAGTCCTCAGGGGTGACAACGCATCTGCACTTTGAATCCTAATAGATGATAAATGTATATGTCACAGGCCACAGCATCCACTTACCTACCAACAGGTGGACTGTGTGCTCGTTCGTCACCCTTATTCTATAAAAAAAAAGGCGTATAGTGTATCCGTGTAGCCGAATAATACCAAAATATGTGTTTCCCAACCGTTGCTGATATAAGCTCTGTGAAATTTAGAGCAATAAAAAATTAAAAACAAAATATAAATAAGACACACCTGTGAAGGAATCCGCTGTGATCATGCCGGCTCCGATCTGACTTATTGGCGTTGAACCTTGGACAACCATGGACGCTGGAAGTCGATGTGGATTGATGAGGGTCATAGTATAGTAAACAAATAATGAAAGAAAAAACAAACATAACAACTATGCCATTGTATCTAAGCTATGAAACAAAAAAAATAAGTTTATTTTTTAATGTTCTATGGTCTAAACTCAGCGTAAATTACAAAAATAGAAACAATAAATAGACTTTTGGTGGGAACTTGACTATCGACGGATTAGAAGGTGAGTGTGGGTGTGCGTGTGCGTGTGCATGCAGAGTGAGTGTGAGTGCGTGATAGCGTTAGTGCGTGCATGTGCGTGTGCATGTGCGTTTGCGTGTGAGTGTCCGTGTGCATTGCGTGTGCGTGTGTGTCTCTATGTGCATGCGTGTGTATATAATTACCCACCAGGGTCGCGTTGTGGCGGTGGGTAATGCATCTCGGCGGGATGCGACGGGAACACGGCTGGATATGCGGCCGCTGCTAATGGCGCCGGCGGAGACTGAAATAATGAAAATTATCAATAGAGTCAGGCGTTACTTTGCGGAAATCCATTAAATAAAAGATTTTAAAATTGATTAGCTAAAACCCGCGTATTATATGCCTTACCTAGTTTAAAGTACACCTCCCGCCCTGTCTCAATTGCGTGCACTATCGCGGTCACCTTGAGAATCTCACTTAGCTGCCAGCCATCACCGACCTTTTTTCTCCTGGTGATGCCTACTTCAGAGGCGAAACACATGGCGTTTTATCGACGGTGAGTGTTATGGCGACGGGGATAGTGAGATAGGGCGGGAGGTGTTCTTCAAACTAGGTTAGATACATCATTTTTATTTTTAGGCAGATCATAGATAATTAATTATAACATCATAACAATCAAAATAGTTACCTACACCACGTGAATATATTTGAGGTAAAGAGCATTCACATTATCTAATACCCTTCTTGTCATCACTGGGCAACTTATCATACATTCCCTTACCATCAACATCTCAGAGATAAGGAATTCTATTCTGTATTTTTCATCCATCCGTTGCGGATATATCGCAGCCCGATAGTTTAATCATACGATTGATTGGACGACTACGCCGTGGCTTAAGCACCGGCATTAGAAAAGGCCTTTTAGTGTAATCATAATGGCGCTCCTAACATTTTAGATTACTGAAAGTCAGACCTTGATTGATATGGCTGAACCGGGCGCCAAGCAAAGAAAATATTATTATCACTGTGTTTAGGACGAAATTGTTTAATGCCCAAATACTCTAACACTGCTCAATGAGGGCTAATAATTTTCTACTCACCAGATGTCGCTAGTTGACAAGGAAGTAAAGTTTTTTGTTACGAAATATAATTTAATTGAGAAGTTGGTTTTTACTAAAAGTTTATCAGTTTCTAGAGTATTACATTAATACACTAAACAATGCGTCAGTTGTTCGCTCTTTAATTTTTTGCACTTTTTTGACTTTTTTCAAAAATTTCTACTTTTATGAATATCTGTGGTTTGGTTTATTTAGTTTAATCTTATTAAAATAAAATATAGCTAATAGTACAGAAAGAAACAATAACCTTTACATTTTCCGAACAAATTAACTTCCCCGTTATGAAATATGTCAAATATTATACCTCACTTTCTAGTGGCGCCGACCTGGTGGCAGAAAAAGTCGTGGATGCCCTCATTGTAAGACGTTGTTAAGTATCGTGCTGTCTCTATCACTCTAAGTTCAAATGACTGTGACAGCACGAGACTTCTTAAAATTTAGAGTATTTGGCTGTAAATGGAGTTACTTTTTTGAAGATAGGTATGGGTGTATATGGGTTACAGCATCTACTTATGGATCGCTGTAGCATATGTCTTACACCTTTTAAGCTGCTTCTCATCGCACATCAGAGTATGGTTACGGCTGACATAAACGATATGGTTATAGCGTTATGTATCAAATGCCATGAGATCTTTCTGGGCTTCCATTTCGCTTCTTACGACACCCCACAGACATAACAGGATAATGGAATTTCTTAAGTCAACACTACACAGCTATATTTTATCATTATAAATAAAACTAGCTGTTCCCCGCGACTTCGTCCGCGTAGAATTTATTACGATTGGTATTTATGTGTTTTGATTTTTTTGTGCAGAACCCTAATTCTTTTTCTAAAATTAAAGTAAAGTAAAATAATTTAAAATTAAAAATTTTGTACAACCGATTTCAATATATATATATATATTATTAAGAATAACCCAAAAGTATTGGTCAGACCTTAATCAAATTTATATAGAACCACATGTGAAGCACCAGCTTTCAAATAAAAAAAGAATCATCGAAATCGGTTTACCTAGTAAAAAATTATGAGGTAACACACATAAAAAAGAAACATACAGTCGAATTGAGTACCGGCTCCTTTTTGAAGACGGTATAAAAGTAGCCTAAGTTACTCCTTATAACACTAGTTATCTGCCTGCGAAAGCCCTGTCGATATCGGTCCAGCCGTTTCGGAAATTAACCGGACAAACAGACAGAAAGACAGACAGACGTCTGTCTGACAAAAATTTAAAAAATTGTTTTTTGTTTAATTGTCATAATTACCGTATCCCATATTGCATTTAATAAAAAGCTGTTATTCTAACATTACAAACAGACAGTTCAATTTTATTTATTTGTATTTCTATAGAATATATATATTTCGGTGCGCGTGTGTGCGTAATTCTTCTCCTTCTAAACGGCTTGACCGATTTTGATGAAATTTTTATGGGGTCACCTGGGTAGTTCTTAGCTATAGTTTCAGACCAGGTAGGTGGCGCTGTTGACGAGACCCAGAAATAATCCGTGAGAACATCTATTTGTTTCTTTATCCTATTTAAATTTGCTAACCTACTTTTTAGTTTAAACTAGCTGTTACTCGCGAATTCGCCCGCGTGTTATTTGTTTTTTTTTTTCGCGCGGAACCCTAATTCTTTTTCTAAAATAAAAGTAGCCTTAGTTACTCCTTATGACATTAGCTACCAGATAGTGAAAGTCCCGTCAAAATCGGTCCAGCCGTTTTGAAGATTAGTCGGAACAAACAGACGGATAGACAGACAGATAAAAATTGTATTTTTGTTATAAGTACCGTATATACTTTCATATGCACTAAGTAAAAAGCTGCAATTTTGACATTGACAAACAGACATCAATTTTATTTATTTGTATAGATTGTATTAATTCAAATATAAATAAAACAGGCGGTGTTCGAATTGACATACTTTTGGTACCTGATACTGAGGCGAGTTGGACGTGCTCGAGTGGTCCTCCATCGTTCCCGATAGGTTGTTATTGCTCTCGATGCCACCTGAAAGAATAATATATCTTATATTTATATTATATCCATACCATCTGGATGATTGACTATCCAACACTGTGTGATTTACAATAAGTTTTCTTCCTCACACAACTTCCTTATTAGCGACCGTCAAAAAAAGAGGTGCGATTAGGCACTCGCATCGAGAACTCGCTGCGAGTGCCTAATCGTACCTCTCGCAAATTTTTAATGAAAATTTATATAAAATACAGGAAAATGATGTCAGAGTTTCTTATACAGGGTTATTTTTCAAAGAGTAGCCAAATTTCAAACTCAAGTTCAAATATATAAATAATGGTATACCGTTATTGTAGTTTTTGAAAATACGAGTAAATAAGGTTCTACTTTAATTTGAAATTAATCCAAATTGAATGTGATTTATAGGCAACACAACGTTTTTGCCTACTGATCGACTCTATTACGAATGTGTTGCGAGCGCAGTAAATCAGTTAAGATAATGCCACGCATTTTGAATTTAAAAGATAAAAAGGACAGAGTTATTTAGATGTTTTATATTAATTTTTCTTCAGCATTTGCCTATATTACTAATTCTGAACCGGGTCTGCAAATTTGGCCGGTTATTGCAAAATAGCCCTATATTTTTTTAAATAATAAAAATCTAGTTTAACTGAAATCTGATAAAGGACCCAGTTTTAAAGCATTACTTAATGTAGTAAATTAAAATTAAAGTTGTATTAATTTAGTTTAAAAATTATAGTGTCAATTATTGCGTATGTATCATTATTATTGGTTCTGAAATATAAATTGCATCACTTCTTTAAATAAATAATATAGGTTTACACACGAATCTTTTTTTTTTTAACTCGTCAAGTTCGAACTTTATACATATTTCGCAACAGGGTCTATAATAAAGTTGCGCCCTTATATATCGAAATTCTGGACAGCGGCCAATAATTTACTTTTTCTGGGCAACGCCTTAATGCGTGTTAGCGGACTTAACTTGTCTTCGAGTATTTTTTTAATTTCTCAGACATTTAGGTTTGCTCACGATGTTTTCCTTCACCGCGGAGCACGTGGTAAATAAGCACTTAAAATTGCAATTGCATTGGTGCCGACGGGGACCGAACATGGGTTGCTCATTTACTATGAAATTTAGCTCGGTTACGGTTAGCCTCTGAGCTACCACGGCTCTCGCAGTCTATACTTTTACATAAACAATTCCACCACAAGGCGAATCAATATTTTAAAATAAGCATTTCTCACCTGAGGAGTAATCCGTCCTTAAAAGGTTCTCGCTCTGCATCTTGGTCTTGAGGCAGGCGATGTACCGTCCGCAGAAGTCTCGACAGAGCTCTTGCACCTTCTCCAGTTCCAGCAGGTGAATTCTTAACACCTGATTGAAGAATTACAGGTTTAGTCTTAACTATTGAAGCTATATATTTGATAATTAGGCAATAGATATAGCTCGAAAAACCGAAAACCAATGGTTAAGAAAGGTTCTCGAGTGGCAGTCTCGTACTGAAAAGATTAGTGTTGGCCGATCTTCCACTATCTAGATAAAGTGACGACCTAGTGAAACATGCTGGTAGTCGCTTTCCGACAATCTGTGGGGAAGTACTAAGATCAGCAGTGGACTTGTGATGGACTAACTATTATATATTTTTTAAATAAAACCAGTGACAGAAACCTAAATGATAGAGCCTAGTTGTAGTGTACGTTGCAGAGCAACGATGCAGCAGATGATGGCTGCATCATGAATGGGTCGGGTCGGCCAGGGTAGGACCACATTCTCACAGTTATGGTGTCATGGAAGAATAGCATCATAATTCTGGTGTGTTTTGTATGGTGGGTGAGGATAACCTGAGACTATTTTACTGGCAACGAGCCATTCCATCTTAATCCTCATAGGTGACAAGGCATCTGCATTTTCATTCTCAATCGAGGATAGCCATATCATTAACTTACCATCAGGTGGAATGTGTGGTCATTTGAAACCCTTACTTCTATAAAAGCGTGGTGACACCTCTGAGGACTCGGATCAAAAACTCACGACATGCTTACAGAATTCAGACAGCCAGCAGGCACATACACGTGGTAGAGCCATGCTGCAGCTATATTAGTAGTATAGTTGTAGCACGAATGGGTCGGCTCGACCGGGGAAGGACCACGCTCTCACAGAATACCAGCGTAAAATAGCAGCTTAACACTGTATATGGTGAGTGTAGAGAACCGGAGACCTTTTTCACTGAAAAAGAGGCACTCCATCTTAGTCCTCACGGGTGACCACGCATCTGCATTTTAATTCGCAAACGAGAATAGATGTAGATGTCTATGGGCCACAGCAACCACTTACCATCAGGTGGACTGTGTGCTCGTTTGTCACCCTTTCCTATAAAAAAAAAATACACTTTTCGCACGTCCACTCATTACGAAAATCCGAATAATATGGTTAAATATCCGACAGCAAATGACCGTCTCGTCGGTTATTCAATTTCTCTGGACGTGAACGCAACGCCGTACCCTTTTGATACGATTCGTCCAGTCGACTCGTACCTTTTAACTGTTCCGAAACCAAGTGTTTCGACCGACTACTCGACATAGGTAAATAAAGCCTTTTGACGTGACAACGTCTTATAATTCGATGAAGCTAGCTGCACGCACGAAAAAACATCACACAAGCGGCGTTACGTCGTTCTGAGGCGTTCCATTTAAGGCTTGAAGTGCAAGCGAGAGCGCGGAACGAGCGACAAAGAGGCACAATCGGCCTCCGCGTTCGGCAGCGTTCGACATCTGTCTCTCTCCTACTTGAGTGAGCGATGCGTTCGCATGGACAGCTGCTATACAATAAGACATTTACATGTTTTCGTCAAGTATGAAGTACAGTGAAAAGTGAATGTGGTGTCAATTGTTTATAGCAACATTTTCTTATGACGTTGTCACGTTCAACTATCGTCAGTAAACCGACTTTACAGACAACCGATTTTTTTTGTCTCATATTTCACTTCTGGGCACAAACTTCCTCTCATTTCTCCCCCAATGTGTATGTCCACCAATACGCATTCAGATTCAGATGTCTTCGTAATATTTTTTTTAATTTCTCAGACTTCATTTACAATACTGCGAGTATTGTAAATGAGAGTTCCTTGTATGATGTACAAGATCGAATATAATATCCTTCTATTTTAAATACCGATTTTCTTTTTAGTTTTTTATAGTTTTAGTTTTCAAAGATACATGTGAATACTGTATCTTGTATAATTTCTTAAATAACTTTTTTATACAGAAATAAAGATGACAAACGAGCACACACTCCACCTTAAGGTAAGTGGATGGCCCATAGTCATCTACATTTATCCTCAGTTAAGATTCAAAATGTCGATGCGTTATCACTTGTCGCCCCTAAGGGCCTCGTTTCCAGTAAAAAGCGAAAAATAGCAGCACTCAGCTGCTATTTCTCGCTGATATTCTGTGAGAGCGTGACCCATTACTTCAAGCATAATATAGCTGCAGCATGGCTAACATGGCTCTACAACGTATCTGACATAAATGTGTCACAAATTGCTCTACTCCGATACCTGTATACTTTTGATCATGAGGCCGTCTATTTCCGGGTCGTCGACGAGGAACGGCCGCCTGTCGCGGCGCTGGTGCTGCACGAACGCCTGAAGGTCCGCGCCGAAGGCATCCGCAGCGGGGGGTTCCGCACCAGCGGTAGCCTGCTCGCATCTTTCCAGCAGTAACGCCAGAAGAGGGAAGAGTGGATGTCTGAAATATGGTATTTTTTGATTAAACATGATGTAAAGTACCTACGTCCTCAGTCTCCCCGCGAACATAGCTGCTATAAAGTACTCGAAATGTCGGCAATATCATCATCATCATCATTACAGCCCTTCACAAGTCCACTGCCGAACATAGGCCTCCCCCAAGGAATGCCATAAAGCACGGTATGAGCCTTCCTGCATGTGACGGCTCCGTGGCGCAGTGGCTTAGCAATGAGTTGTTGCGCTGGGGGCCGCGGGTTCGAATCCCGCACGGAACAAGTATTTGTATGGCCTACAAATAATTGTTCCGGGTCTGAATGTTTGTCCTCGTGCAATTTATGTTTGTAAACTGCCTCCACGATACAGGAGAATATCCTAGTGTGGTGGTAACGTTTTTTTTTAAATGTCCTACCGTCACTCCATCTAGTGGGGGTCGCCCTACACTTCGCCTACCGGTACGAGGCTGCCACTCGAAAACCTTTTTTCCCCATCAGTTATCGGTTTTTCGAGCTTTATAGCCGGCCCATTGCCACTTCAGCTTACTAATCCGTTAAGCTATGTCAGCCACTCTGGTTCTATTGCGGATATCCTCATTTCTATATATAAAATAAGTTAATTAAACGCGGTAAAATCCTAGGTGAAGTGACAACTTGGTAAGAGACGCACGAAGTCGATGGATGCATTTGGCTCAGTACTGTGCCTTGTGACATTCCTTGGGGAAGGTCTATATCCAGCAGTGGACTTGTGAAAGCTGTAATGATGATGATGATGATTACAATGTGTGCGTAACTATGCTAATATGTTATGCGGTGCAATTCTAGCATTATATCTATTTTTTTACGTGGTAGAGCCATGCTGCAGCTATATTAGTGGTATAGTTGTAGCACGAATGGGTCGGCTCGGCCGGGGAACAACCACGCTCTCAGAGAATACCGAAGAAGAGAAAAGAGGCATTCCATGTTAGTCCTCAGGGCTGACAACGCACCTGCATTTTGATTATTTATTGAGGATAGATGTAGATATGTCTATCGGTCACATCAACCACTCACAATCAGGTAAACTGTGTGCTCGTTTGCCACCCTATCCTATAAAATAATCTCAGTATTTGTGTGGTGTCTCAGTACCACTGTGGTATAGAAAATGAAAAACTGTTTACCGTAACGCCTTGCTACATATAATGGTACTAAATTTATCATAAAACCAAATATTAACACAATTCATTTAACTGACGTCATACACGAGTACGCGCTCCAATTGCGCTTATATATAATAAATTAAAATAAAAAAAATTGTACAACTGACTTCAATACCTTGATCAAATTTATATGGGACCACATGAGAAGAGCCAGCTTTCAAATAAAAAAAGAATCATCGAAATCGGTTCACGTAGAACAAAGTTATGAGGTAACACACATAAAAAAATACAGTCGAATTGAGTACCTCCTCCTTTTTTAAGTCGGTAGAAAATGTACGGGTTTACTCGTACCGTTACTGTTACCATCTATTAAAGTCCACTGATGTCCATTTGCCATAGTTGCCACGCTTAGCAAGCGGGTTGGCAACCGCAGGTTTTTTTATTTATAGTCGTTATTAGGAAGACGCTGCTGCCCAACTCCTGATTTGTTTACCTCTGTACTTACCTTACTATGTCAGTTACAACAGCCACGGCACAATATGGGGCACTGGATATTCTTACACCGCCACTACAGGGTTAACGCAAGAAATAACTTAGCGAAATGCCCCATAAATCTTAAAACAAAAACTTAGGTCTTAACGAAGACCACCACCACCTACTTAGGTCAAGATTATAATAGCGCATAGACTTATAATATACTGGCGTACTAGTGTGTGTGCAAACACATATGCACTCTATATTCCCTTATGCTCACAGTCCGTTGATACGGCAATCGGACACGAATGGATGGAGATCAGGCGCAGAAACAAATGCTTTACGTACTTTCCGAAGCAAGGAGGGTGAAACACCGCTAGTTTCCTGACTTCGGGATGCTATTGAATCATTAAAGGGGATACAGGTAACACCAATTTCAACGCAACCCTCCTAAAATCCTAAGCTAGCACTAACGTAGCCGCATTATCTCAGAGCAACGAATCTTTTCTGCATCCGTAGGCATTACGCTTCTGTTTTAAGCTGGTATTCTATGAGAGTGTGATCTATGTACCATTATGCTCCTATTTTACGTTAGTATTCTTTGAGAGTGTGATCTATGTACCATTGTGTTTCTATTATACGTTCGTATTCTTTGAGAGTGTGATCTATGTACCATTATGCTCCTATTTTACGTTAGTATTCTATGAAAGTGTGATCTATGTACCATCGTGCTCCTATTTTACGTTCGTATTCTATGAGAGTGTGATCTATGTACTATTATGCTCCTATTTTACGTTAGTATTCTATGAAAGTGTGATCTATGTACCATTGTGTTTCTATTATACGTTCGTATTCTTTGAGAGTGTGATCTATGTACCATTGTGTTTCTATTATACGTTCGTATTCTATGAGAGTGTGATATATGTACCATTATGCTTCTATTTTACGCTGGTATTCTGTGAGAGCGTGATCATATACCCATGGCAATGCTGCCTTTGGGCAAGGGCATTGGAAGTGTGACTCACTTGTATACAGCACGTTTGTCGGCCTCGAACTGCGCCTGCTCGGCGTCGGCGGCGGGCGCGCCGCCGCCCTGCATCCCGCCGCGATCACCAGCCGCGCCCGCGCATCTGTAACACAAGCACAACCCACCTGTCAGAACACATAATAAAAGTTAAAGCTACAGCCTATATACATCCCACTGCTGGGCACAGGCCTCCTCTCATTTCTGAGAGGGTTTTAAGGCAAGGAGATGTCCGCTGTTGCGTGTTGGCGAACATCATATGTCTTCAAAATATTTTTTTCTTATTTCTAAGACATGCAGGTTTCCTCACGATGTTTTCCTTCACCGCCGACCACGTAGTAAATCAGCAATTAAAATTGCTAAAGTAAACATTAGTAATAAATACAAAATGATAATATTGTATGTCATCCCAAAAACAGTAATTTCTGAACAGATGGACTGCATCCGGAGAAACAATCATTAAAATTAGAAGTACAGTAATGAAATATTTTATACTCAGATATTTTTTTCTTTTTCATATATTTGGGCGGCAATAACACAAACTAATTCGTGTGTCGCAAACACAATAAACAATCCATGAATCCAGCTTTGCGAGTCACCTACAAACAAATCCATCTCGCAAAACAAACTACCATAACAATGCAATAAAACATAGTTGAACACGAAACAGCGCCCGTAAACAGGGAATAAACACAACATGGCAACACAGTCAAGAAATCAGTCGAGTACAGGGCTGCCTCTTTTAAGTAAAAGCCTTTTGATTTTCTTTATTGACGTTTGAAATTAAATGATCTGGACTTTCAAAATATGAATAACACTGGCCTTCTTCTTAAATAGGGAAATGTCTCGACAGGCTAGGTGTTGAGCCCAGGCCTTGCTCAATGTAATTATTACGGATCTCGTGTATAATCCCCGTATAGTGGCCACTACCCCATATCTTCCCGTGGGTGTCGCAAAAGGCGACAGAGAGAAACTGGGGCAGAAGATGGGCAGCAGCATCTTTCTGACAAAAGCAAAAACCAATAAAAAACTGCGGTTGCCAACCTTAGTAATATAGTCCTTATGGCAAAATCGCTGGAGGACCTAAGCACTATGCTCAGTGACCTCAATAGTGTATCCCAATGGATAGGTCTTAAGATGAACATGGACAAAAACAAAAATATTGTTTAACGTCCATGTCACACCCATGCCGGTAGTTGTTGGGAGCACTAATCTTGAAGTTGTTGACGAGTATGTTTACCTGGGACAAATAGTCCGACTAAGTAAGTTCAAATCGGTAAATCGACGAATTCAATTCGGCTGCGCAGCGTTCGGAAAATCACGACACATCTCTCATCAGACAGACACATCTCTCATCAGACATACCTCAAAACTTGAAAACGAGACTGTACAACCAGTGCGTGTTACCTCGTACCGGCAGGCGAAATGTAGGGCGTCCCGCCACTAGATGGAGTGACGACCTGGTAAGATATGCAGGAAGTCGATGGATGCAGGTGGCTTGGGACCGTGCTTTGTGGCATTCCTTGAGGGAGGCCTATATTCAGCAGTGGACTTGTGAAGGGCTGTAATGATGATGATGATTGTGTATAAAAAGTTATCTTAGCTTTTTTAAATTTTTTACCTAACTAAATTGATCTCTATAAAGCAGTATTTTTATTTTTATTTATTTATTATTTATTGTAATATATTACAACTAAGACAACAATGACCGGACTTAATGCCTGTCGGCATTCTCTGCCAGTCAACCCGTAGCATGGTGAGCTATATGGCAAGTGTGAATTTGCGATAAGATCTCATCAGTTTCATTTTTAGCCATTAATTTTATCCTTGGTATCCTCGAATCACTTAAACACGCTATCAACAAATGTTTACGAATACACCAGGCGGATAAAATTGTACCTACTTTCCTTCTTTAATATAGTTAATGAAGATATTAACAGACGCGTCGGTCTGTATCACTCAACGATTAGCAACGATATCTAATTCAATTAGTAAAACAATATTACGAGATCAATTATCACAAAAATCTTTCTGTCGCAGACATTATTTATTGATTAATCATCATCATCAGCCCATATAAGTCCACAGCTGGACCTGCTAGGATACGTCTTAACTGTTCTGGTTAGCAGACGGATTAAAGATGGCTGTACCAGACGCGAGCACCTTTAACGCAATTGGCCATTGCTGGCTTGATTAATTTATATCAGGCGTAAACAAAATGATAAAAACGCCATCTTTCGGAAGCCAATAGGTTTTTCTGGCACTACCCAAAGACGTCTCTTTTATACACCCACGGGACAAAAGTGGGTAGAGGATATTCTTACACGACTAACACACGGTTGCTTTTGTATAATTTTTTTATGGGATAGGGTGACAAACGAGTACACAGTCCCACCTGATGGTAAATGGTTGCTGTGACCCATAAACATCTACATTTATCCTCAATAAAGAATCAAAATGCAGATGCATCGTTACCCGTGACGACTAAGATGAAATGCCTCTTTTCCAGTAAAAGGGGTCTCCGGTTCTCTACACTTACCATACGAAACACAGCAGTGTTAAGCTGCTATTTTACGCTGGTATATGTGAGAGCGTGGTCCTTCCCCGGTCGAGCCGACCCATACGTGCTACAACTATACTACTAATATAGCTGCAGCATGGCTCTATAACGTATAAACCTCATATACATTATTATTCTAATGCATAATCGACTGTATTATTATAATTAACTGTCTCGTTGGTTCAGTGATCGTAAGCGCGGCTGCTGGTTATGAGGTCTTGGGTTCGAAATCCGATCGGCCCAAAATCAGTTATTAGTTTTGCTGTCGAGAAATTTTCAGTAACAGCCGTAAGTATGTTGGCGGTGTGGTCCTGCGCCTGACCTTCCAATCGCGTCAGATTACCGTACCATCGGACTATAAGAGTAACGAATTCAGAGTGCACCTGCGCATACACTTGGGCTCTATAATCCTATCCTGCGCGGATGGCTAGTCTCCGTTGAGACTTACCACCGTGACCGAAATTCGGTCTAGAGGACATTATTATTTTTAGGACTTTATATAAAATATCGTTACATCCCATATGATGACGGAGTTTTAAACCTCCTCCACCTAGCCATGATTAAAAAAAGATAGCGATAGAAGCATTTTTGATACATTATAAACAATAATAACAATTCTAACGTAACCAGATATAATTTTTTTTATAGGATAGGTTGACAAACGAGCACACAGTCCACCTGATGGTAAGTGGTTGCTGTAACCCATAGACATCTACATTTATCCTCAATAAAGAATCAAATTGCAGATGCGTCGTCACTCGTGAGGACAAAGATCAAATGTCTCTTTTCCAGTAAAAGGGGTCTCCGGTTCTCTACACTCACCATACGAAACACAGCAGTGTCAAGCTGCCATTTTACGCTGGTATTCTGTGAGAGCGTGGTCCTTCACCGGTCGTGCTACAACTATACTACTAATATGGCTGCAGCATGGCCACATATCATACCACGTATAAAAAATGTTTGTAATGATTTTTTTTACATTTACGCGAACCCAACACAATGGATGAAACTAATTTTTATGGATTTTATCGCGTTCCATTGTACTTATTTTTAATACCCGACATTTCCGGTTCAGGTTTATTCAACAGATATAATTTTGTTGATAATATAACAACCCTGTACATTTCGAAACTTGTGGAGGCAATAAAAAGAGATATTAAAAGCGGAGAGCGTCAGCCATATCACATTCATCACAAGTGTTGCCACTAGATTGATATAAGATACCCCGCTTCCTTCAGCGTTCACCCCATTTTAGACACTATATTGTTTTTAAGTCGGGATTAAATTGGAAGACCAATTTTTTCTACATTATATAAACTAACGCGAATTTCGCTATGTGATAAAGTTATATATTTATTATATTCAGAATATACATACTAGTAAGTAAGTATTTTTTTAAAGAATAAGGGTGACAAACGAGCACACAGTCTACCTGATGGTAGATGGATGCTGTGGCCAATAGACAGCTACATCTACCTATAAGAATCAAAATGCAAAATACGTTGTCACCCCCGAAGACCAAGATGGAACGCCTCGTTTCCAATAAAAATGGTCTCCGGTTCTCTACACTCACCATACGAAACAAAGCAACATTAAGCTATTATTTCACGCTGGTATTCTGTGAAAGCATGGTCCTTCCCCAGTCGAGCCGTGCTGCAACCATAATATAGCTGCAGCGTAACTCTAAGTTTATCGGTTTTTTTTTCTAAAATAGCGGAAACCCAAAATCGTAAGAGTTACGAGCGAACATAGAAACGGACATACAGGCGTGTACAAGTTAAAATTATTACCTCCTTTTGGCTCCAACGCAATTGGGTAAAAAGAAATAATTTTTTGCCCTTGGCAATTTACTCTTGGAAAACTGAGCGATGTAATTTGACAAAGTTTGATCAGACGTAGACGTTACTTCAGTAAATTAAGTTCTTCAAACGTTAGGTACTTAGACGCACCGACGTCAGGTGGCTCAATATTGGTTAACTTTAAATTTACAATCTCTGATATCCGTTATTTTAGTTAATCAAGCAGATGATTGCTCACAGACATATTTTTTTATATAACTTAGGATAACAAAAGACCACACAATCAACCGTACGATAAGTGGATGTTGTAACATACATACATACATTACAGCCTATCTGAATTCCACTCCTGAACGTTGGCCTCGCCTAATAGGGAGGTTTTTTGCCATAGTTACCACACTTGACTGGCGGGTTTGGCAACCACAGTTTCTTAATATTTTAAATTGTTATCAGAAAAATACTGCCGCATATCTCATGGTTTATTTCCTTGTCATCACTTATGAAACCCACGGGATGATATAGGGTAGTGGATATTCTTACTCCGTTCCTACACACCTGTCGTTACCCATAGGCATTACATCTCGATTAATAATAATTTAAAATTTTGTACAACCGACTTCACTATAAATTATTAAGAATAAATCAAAAACTATTGTCAGACCTTGATCAAATTTATATGGGACTACACGAGAAGTACCAGCTTTCAAATAAAAAAA